CCCTGCTTATTCGGCTTCCGTCCGGCAGGCCCTGCTTATTCGGCTTCCGTCCGGCAGGCCCTGCTTATTCATCTTCCGTTCTGCTGGTCCTTTTTATTCGGCTTCCGTTCTGCTGGTCCTGTTTATTCAGCTTCCGTCCGGCAGGCCCTGCTTATTCAGCTTCCGTCCAGCAGGCCCTGCTAATTCAGCTTCCGTCCAGCAGGCACTGCTTATTCGGCTTCCGTCCGGTAGGCCCTGCTTGTGCAGCTTCTGTCCAGCAGGACCTGCTTGTGCAGCTTCTGTCCGGTAGGCTGTCCTAATATAGTGCGGAAAGTTGCCCCAAGACTTGCCTTAATTCAACAAAATAACTAGACCAGACAAATGGCCAGTGACAAAACCTATTAACTTGGGACTGTAGCAGTCATCAGTTTTTATTGTTACATTGAATTTCAAAGGTATATCAAGACTTCAGAGTGGTCATTTGGTGGAAAAGGGTGTTTTGGAGTTATTCTGGTTTAAAGCATCTCTGTAAAAACCAGTCTAGTACAATGTACCTGTGTTTCTGGGGACATACAACCAAGAATGTCCAGAAATGCATTTATGATTCTAGTGTAACATAGATGATTAAAATTAAATGATATGTTATATTGAGTTAAGAGATTGTTTAATCCGTATGTACTGTGTAATTGTATCGGACAAGTAGCACTGGATTATGTAACAGTATCAGACCAACACGACAGGACTATATAACTGTATTGGACAAACAGCACTGGATTATGTATCAGTATTGGTCAAACAGTATTATATTATGTAACAGTATTGGACAAACAGTATTGGATTATGTAACCGTATTGGATGGGTACCACTGGCTGATGTAATGATACTGAACAGATAGTAAATAATAAGATTGTTACACTATTTGCACTTAAAAGACTAATTTGAATGAATAAAACATCATTGCCAATAGATTAAAATTTGTGTTATTTCGGTTCTTTCTGATCTTTTTACTGAATGTATCACAGCTAAATAACAACGAGTTGCACATGTATCCACATATAAATGATCATTTAAAGCTGAGGAAGATTCTAGCAGGTGCAGTGTTCAGAGCGCCACCTCATGGCAGTTTCCTGGGACAGCCAGCATCCACTGCAGCAAAGCTTCAGGGCTAAACAGCGGCCTTCACAGACTCACGCTCAAATTTACATTAATAAACTGCTCCTGCTGCTTTTCCCCCGAGAAGAGAAACCCTCAGAAACATCAACCAGAAAAATCTACACGTCAAGGCGTTTCCCACACAGCGATCACGTTTTTTTTTTCTTTTCCTTATAACACCCAATATTGTGCCAGTATGACGCACAACACAGAAAGAGCACCAGCTCTGCAGGCAGGGACAGATGCCATGGCACCATTTGTTGCTTCATCTCCGGCTCCTATGTCCCCCACTGTTCACTGTATCTTCTGGGCGTTGACAATCCTTACAGCTGGATACATGAACCGGCAAGTATAAATGATACCTTTATCGTCTTTCACAGGTTTATGGGAGTGGAGGTGATTCTGCCCCTCGGTCCACAGCCAACCTCCCTTGGATTGCAGAAGCTGGACTGCAAAGGCCTGTTCAATCAGAAGCTCAGTAAAGACAAACACACTTTTGATTTCTGTTATCCATCCATCCATTGTCCAATCCGCTTATCCTGCTGGGTCGCGGGGGGGTCCGGAGCCTATCCCGGAAGCAACGGGCATGAGGCAGTGATTTCTGTTATCAAAGCACCAAAAAAAAAAACTGGCTTGGTTCCTAGTGCTGGGGAATCCCTTTCATAAAATCCATCCATCCATCCGTCTTCTAACAACTTATCCCCATCAGTCCCTTGGGGCCTGGAGCCGATCACAGGCAGCACAAGGTAGAGTCAATTGTATAGTATTTTTAAAACTGGGATAGTCCATAGAGGATGGCTTATTTGCTGTAGGTCTGTAACATTAAATCAACTTTGATACAGCATCAATCATCTATATCTAACTTTTATGGAAAATTATTAAGGTGCCATGATCTTTTAGATGGCAGCTGGAATATCTCTGCACTGTGTGACTGTAGCTGCTCTTTATGTTGATGTCATCTCAGAGTACCGGTACATTTTACAAGGCTATCAACACGACAATAAAGTGCTTGTTTAGATATTATTTGGTGCAAGTTGCCAAATATCAGGTCTGATACAAGACAATTAAAAGAGCAGAGCATAAGATATCACATTGGTGCTTTAGTGGCTGAAGTTAAACACCAAACCTTTAGAACTGACATCACAGTGGAAACCTCAGACAAAACTTTCATTTGCAAAACCTCTGTTTGAAAAAGTTTGTAAGGGCCTGGAACCTGTCCCAGGCATCCCAGTCCAAGCAGATCTTCATGTTCAGAGAAAGAACAGTGGAGAGGAAGCTGGGGATGAACGTGGGGTGACTGAACATTTCAGTCACTGATTTGAGGAGATGATGCAGGAAAAATGGGATGTAAACACTCAGCTCTGCCCTCTGGTGGCCAATTACCAGCCACCCTTGACCAGAGTGACCAGTCTACAGGACAACCTCATGAAAACATTAACTGCAAAACAGCACCTCCTACAGGACAGACTTTTTACTACAGGGGTCATAATTAATTTCTTAATATTACCAGTAGTTAAAATAATTTATTCTTACTTATTGTTGCCACAAAACTCTTTTAGAATAATTGGATTTGTTTTTGCTTGAGAACAAACCAGTTAGTTTTAAATGTTTAATATTGTGTTTTAAACCACAACATGCATTGCCAATAAAGGCAAAAGTACAACAATAAGTTGGACTTAATGTAATTAAGCACTAAGATACTGGCAGCCAGGAAGGAGCAGCTCGCGGTTAATGAGCCAACCGCGCGAGTGACAGTCCTGTGGTTTAAATACGTAACAGAGAAGAACTGGAGAGCAAAGCCTTGAGTTAAACAAAACCACAGTGTTCTCTTTATTGTACAGAGTTTGAACCCTTAAGGTTTCCATAAAAAAAGGCTTTTGCAGACACTGGTATATGGCAGAGACCAGAATGATGCACTCTGACTGAAAGGCCACAGAAAAATGGACCCCCCCCCCCACACAAACCTTTTTAATAATAACCTATTCGTAACGTCACCACACTTCATAAGGTGCTGGAAAATACAGGGCTCGGGGCTTCTTTGTGTAATCTTTTATTTATATATTTTTTGAAGAAATATTTAAAATACTTAAATCTGTGCCCATTCATCGATTTCACAGAGCTCACGCTGCTCAATACTTAAAAGTTTATAGCTGCAGATCTTGAATATATTACAGCAGGAATCACCCCCCTCCAACTAGATTAAAATATAAAATACCCAGAGTGCACTCTACTGCCCACCCCCAGACACACCAACAAGTCCCAGATCCCATCTGCACCCACGTTAACAGACACAGGTCGAAAGCACATTCGGGACGAAGGACGTCGTCTTTAAATAGCCCCTTAATTCCTAACTACAGGCAACACAATCCAAGAGAAAAAAAAACATAAAAAAAAAATTCAAGTCTTCGCTCGGCTTGCCCGGTCATTATGACAAAGTTCATGTTAATGCTCAGTGAGACGGCAGAGAGCGAGCCTCCATCTCTCAGGAATCGAACACACAACATACCGGTCACACTATCATGTCCAAAAATACTCGGAAAAGTCGAAAATATGTCTCTCTATATAAATTTTCAGAAAATTGATGGCCTCACTGGATGTTCTGCAGGCTTCCTTTAATACACTGGTGAGGTTGAGGTTTTTTTTCGTTGTGTCATTTTGTTAAACCCCCAACCCCATCCCGATGGACAGTCCTCACAAACGCTGATCCTGTGTCATTGTGTGCTGATGAGCTTGGGTTCCGCTTCGCTGGGGCTCGGCACGCTGCCGTTGCCCTCATTGCTGTTGTTGGTGTTGGTGTTGCTGTGGAGGTTCTGCAGACCATGGCTGTTGCTCTGTGCTCCCAGTGCCTTCTTGATCTGCAGATCATCCAGCTTCTTCCACAGCTCCTCCCTCTCCTGCTCCTTCTTCATCTCCCTATAGACCACCGGGGGAGGGGGGGTGGGGTTGGTCATGGCACCGGGATGAAACAGAGATCGCAAATGAAGTAAGAGAGGGCCACAGGAAGGACCCCTGTCACCTCCTTCATAAGGAGCATCACACCAGACAATCCTGATCCTTTTTGTAGAAAAGATTGTAGAAAAATGACAACAGAAAAAAACAAAATTCCATTCAAAGTTGTACCAATTTTAACATCAGTTATTGTTTTTGGAGTACAAATTTTAGCAGCATGATTACTGTGTTCTGTTGAACTGACTCCGTTCAAGAATTGTCCTTAGTCACCCCTATTAACAAGGTCACTAAAGGTTACAACCCCTGAAGGATCGACATAGATGCACGTCACACTCTCTTACAAATGTATATTCTCACGAATATGCAAGCTGGGTCCGTAACTAACAGTGGAAAACCACTCCCACAATGCTTACCGCTGCCTTTCAGCCTTGTAAGAAGACGTTAGCTCGTCGAACAGTGTGCTGTTCATCTCCATCATCGTCTTTAACACGCTGTACACCAGAGCTACAATGGTACTGGAAGATGGGACGATGCACTATGGGTTAACACAGCTTGATTGCTTTTCAGCATTTAGCACTAAACAGAATCCACTCAGTCAACAAATTATTTACCAGAAAAAAGTGATGAAAAGATGAAGATGTTTCATCACCTGCTGACATACAGTTAACTCCTGCATGACTATGATATTATTTACTCGTGTCCTTGATTAGACGACTCGCTCTGAACACGTGGTGAATTGTTACCGTAGCAACAGCACTTTATAAATCCTAAGGTATAACGGTAACTGGGAAGCTCCCAGCAGGGGAGAGACGACACTTACGGGTTCCAGTGCTCCTTGGAGATCCGGTACAGGCTGCCGAACATGATTGGCAGGATGTTCTCGATATTTTCTTCTATGAGGCTCAGTATGTACTCGTTGTTCCAGAAGTATAGCGCTCGTTCAGCGACCTGTAGAAGGAAGAGCTGCAGAAGTGAGATGTCGGGCCAGGCAATGGGATGAGGGCGTCCGGCTCAGGGGCATGCTACCTGGAAGTGAGGGTTGGCCACACATTTGCCGATCTGCTTGAAGAGAGGCTCTTCGATCTTTTTGAACTGTGTGGGCTCGATTACATCCAGGACCTCCTCAATTTCTCCCAGGAACATTACCTTGATGGGGAAATAACAATAAATACAGGAACAGCAATTACATTTCTGTAAATAGTGACAACCGCGTGCACCACCTGTTATGGCGGCGTGATCCCCTGTGACGGTCTCCCTTGCACACATACCTCTTTCTGGCTGCAGGTTTTTGGCCAAAATTTCAGCAGACCTCGTATGACCTGCAGAATTCATCACAATGGAGCAGTGAGATGTATGAGAAGAGACCGGAAGCATAACTATTCATGATGCATAAGACAGTGGTTCACAACCACTGTGACCCATTTTTTTTTTTTTTTTACTATGTCAGGTGAGACACGACCCAATATCAAGTACAGGTTTAAATTAATGCTATGATCAAGCACACAGTGCACTCTGCAATTTATGGCAATCAATGTCTATTACACAAACCTGATTGGATGTACCAGTGAATTTTAAATGAAGCATCCGTGGTTTGGCTTTTTGGATTGGCTGAGTGTCACTAGTTTTGCACTAAGCATTTGCAGACCCAAGACCTGTTTATATAGGTCATTTCTACAACTGGGTTGGGAAATAAATTTTAAAATGCTTACATTTCCAATTCTGCCTCGCGACACTTTCAGAACCTGCCGTGACGCAAATTTGGGTCGCGACCCATGGTCTGAGAATCGCTGGCCTAAGACCATGCTGGTGTTTTCATAGGCTGGCGATCATCTCACCACTGTGAGATAATTCCAAAGGTTCACTCTCGGTCTTGTGTCACCTATGGTCTCAATGGCTAACAGCTCAAGCCGACTTTACCGGCCACATGAAAGCTTTTTGGGGAAGCTTAAGCAGACATACCGGCTCAGAGAGAGTGGAGTCCTTTTCCAAAAACTGTACCACACAATAGGCCAGCTGAAACACACAATGAAGAGGTCAGTCCCTCTACACCAGGCTGCCTGCTGTGTGCCTGACTTAAACATAAAAGGTCTTTAGTAATGCTATAAATGTTGACATACTGCCAAACTGATACACGGGCAAAAAAATAACACAGTGGCATTCTAACCACATGGGGGCACAGTTGTCCACAAATTAGCCTGAAGAACATCAACAAACCTGCCAAAAACAAACAAATAACCGTCTGCATTATAACTGAATTTTACTTTCCTTCCTCAGTGATTCAAAGCTATATTAATAATTCCCATTGCAGATCAGTCAATTATTAAAATGCTTTCAAGGTGAAAGGCGGGAAACCCAGGATGGGGCGCTAATCCACACACATACATCCATCTATACCTTTGGGCAATTTGGCAACTCCAGTTAACCTCAGCATGTGTTTGGACTGCAGGGGGAAACCAGAGGACCTACATATGCATGTTAGCAGAGTAATTAGCATATTATTCAATGTCAGTGTGTACAAGTGTCCACATGCGTAACAATTAGAAGAGGAGTCAGGCTTGAGTGGGAGTCTAACAGAATAACATTGCCACTGTGGCTCTTACCTGTGCATGGAATAGGGTCAGTCCTTTAGCCGTGTGCATGGGAATGAGGACCTTCAGCAGGAACTGCTTGTGTTCGGCCTTCAGAGGCAGCGCAAAGCCGTTGATGATGCTGGAGGGGAAAAGGAGATGGTCCTAGTTCATTAAGATGGTGGAAGAGACGGTCACAGTCCATAAGGAAGTGGAGATGTGCATAGTTCATAAGAAGGTGGGAGAGATGGTTGTAACATATGAAGGTGAAAAAATGGTCATAGTTTATACGGAGGTTGAGCAGTAGATCACAGTTCATGAGAAGGTGGAGGAGAGGGTCATAGTTCCTTAGATGGTGGTGCAGGTCACAGGAAGCTACAGCTGAAGTCGAACGGATACAGGACCAAGTGGTAGGAGTGACCCAATCATTACCAGATCTCTTTGACCTCAAAAAAGCAGGTGGTTTAACAGCTGCACTCTACAAACATTGAAATCTCAGACTACTGCCCTCTGTTGGTATAGAGGTGACCATTCTTCCTCTACAGCATGTTAAGGTAAAGTCACACTCAAAGGAAGTGACAGCGGAAGCTCTACTGGGATGCGAGGCTCACAACTGTGGTGTGTGACCCCTTACAGTCTGAGGAGAATAAAGGCCAATGAAAATCAGCATGCGGGCTTTGGCTTCATCAAAATAAAGGGACAGAGGATAGAAATATCAGACATCGATATTCCCAACTGCCCATCACTGTGCCGGCAGAAATTAATTAGAAGTTACAGAATGTTCATCAATCTCTGTGACCCGACCATCCATCAGAAACAGGTTCCAGGCCGCGTGCCAAATATGACCATTTCCTCTGAGATAGTCAGCTTTCAGAAAGATTGACTGCTGCAGGCAACAGAAAAGCTACCGAAGACTGACACAACCTGCAAAGGGCATATAGTTTTCCATGATGAAAAATTGGATGGTTACTGGTTAAAAGTCTAGGGGTGGCAGATTGATTTCATGGGCTCCTGAGCAAGGCCCCTAACCCCTACTACATAAATAACATCTAAACAAAATACCTTAAGTAACTTTTTAACAGTTAAAAATGGACTATATCATGATAAGTCACGTGATTGATTATAGCAGCAAATCCTCAGATTCAGCCGGAAGGAAGTTCTACATTGAAAAATCCACCCAGTGTCATGTAACCTGAGGAGGGAGGGGGGTCTTCATTTACCTCCCCAGGATCTCCAGAAGCTCTGCTATCCCATTGAAGTGGTCTGTCTCATAGATGAACCTGGCAGAGACAGAAGCGCCGATGTCACACAGGTGAGTCCATCCGACATTGCCCATGCGTATGCGAGATGCATGCGAGATGCATGCGAGATGCATGCCAGCTGTGCTGCAGGGCCTCCTCTGTTCGCCCCCCGGAGTTCCCTGCTGTGGCGCTGAGCTCCATGTTTCCGTGCAGACACTTCAGCATCATGGTCTTTGACGGAGCGCTCTGACATGCGGTGCTATTTTTAATTACCCGCAGCAGATGGTTGACATAGATGGGACGTGGGTGGGAGAGCCTGTCAAAACAACTCCCTGTCCTCCACCCACCCGCAAAACAGACAGGCGACGGACATTTTGGGTGACATTAAGTGCTGAGCTTTTTTTTTTCTTCTTTTGAACAGAAAACATTCAGAATCCCTGAAGATTCCTACCTCCCCTTCACTCCCAAACCCGAGATTCTGCTGTGCATGTTAATATAAATTAACCCCCCCACCATACCGGGGGGGGGGGGGAGTGGGTGGGTCTTGTTTACATCACTTCCTGCTGGCCTGATGAATGAAAGGTATGAGGGAACAGAAGCTCATTTTGCTGCAGGGAGATAAAGTGGAGCGTGTGTGTTTGTATGTATTGGGGGGAGGGGGACACCAATTGCCAATGGATCACTCCCTCTTTACTCCCCCGATGTGAACAACCTGCAGCCTGAGGACTGACCCGGGTCCAGCAGGTTCTGAAAGCATTAATACCAGTCGCCCGCACTGGGGCCGCTGACATACCTTAGGAAGATGTTGTTGATGTGCTTCCGGATGAAGGCTCTCAAGCCCAGGAACTTGCCGTAGATCCTGTGCAGGATGGTCTTGAGGAATTCACGCTCCCGGGGATCCTCGCTGTCGAAGAGCTCCAGGAGCTGCGGAGACAAATTGGGGGTTGGGGGTGACCAAGGGGCAGGACAGAACAAGCACGATGTCCCAAAAAGCACAGGGAACCAGACATCTCTCACACACAATTAAGTTGGTCTTTCTATCTAAATGAGGACCGTCCATTCATTCCTATGGGAAAAATCCTAATCCCAATCACGACACCCTTAACCCCTACCCAGCACTAACCTTAACCATAAGTAATCAACCCAAATACAAGACTTTTGGCATTTTTACTTTTTTGATTGCATTCACAGATTTTAATAAAACTGAGGTTATCCAAATGGGGACCTCAAAAGAAGTCCCCAAAAGTAGGGAAATTTCAGGTTTTACTACACTTTGGGGAAAATTTGATCCTCAAATGTGATTTATGCAAACCGCAAACCACCCCCCCTCTGTGTGTATGTCCACACACACACACACACACACACACACACACAGATGCCTATCACATAGCTTCCACTTTTCCAAATGTTATATACAGCTTTGAGAGTTTACCCTGGGGTCAATCTGGTTTATTTTATCTCGGTATTTTGTGACCATCCTTAGCATTCAAAGCAGCATCAGCTCTCCTAGGTGCAGATGCACACGGTTTGAGGAAGTCGACAAGTTGGCTGTTCCAAACATTTGGGAGGATTAACCACAGCTCTTGGATGGGTTTAGGCTGTCTGAGCTGCTTGTGTCTCCCAGACTGACGTGATGATGAGATCAGGGCTCTGTGGAAGCAATGACGTCTCTTCTAAGACTCCTTGTTCTATCTGCTGAAGATGGACCTTCATGGCTTGGGCTGTATGTTAGGGGTCATTGTCATACAGCAGAATGAATTTAGGCCCAGACACCTCCTTAACGGCACTGCATGATGGATAAGCATCTCACTGTACTTCTCAACATCGAGAACATTCTGGTCAAGTCCCTGACTCCATTTGCAGTAATGCAGCTGGAATTCCGCAAGCAATCTCCAGCATGCTTTACTGCAGCCGGCAAACAGTCACCCCTGTGCCTCACTCCGGCCCATCGGTGGACAAACCTCTTTCTGTTACAGAGAAATGTGTCAAATTTTGTCTCCTCAGTCATGAGCACCTGTTGCGCTTTTCCTGCACTCCAGTTCTTGTGTTTTCACGCACGGGTGAGTCTCTTGGCCTTGTTTCCACATGGAAGGTACAGCTTTTTGGCTACGTCTTCCACGTCCCACGTCTTCCACGAAGATCACTGGGTATCACCTGATTGTGCAGACATGTCTGCGTGATGTGGTTAACATCAATCACAAGAAGTTTCTTGGGCCAACCACTATGTATTAGGTCCTCAGCATTCCACGTTTCTTTGTGTTTCTGCAGAATAGCTTGGGCAGTACATCTGGAAACATCTGTCTTCCTTAAACCGCCTGCCAGTGAGAGATCTTGCTGATGCAGTAAGACCACTGTGTGTCTTATTGCTGTGCTCAGTCGTGCCATGGTGAATAGTTTAAAAAAATCTTACAACACCCTCACCTTGTTAGTAGGGCACTGTCATTCCACAAGCAGCTTCATTCCTCCTATACAGCTATTTCCGTTTCAGTTAATGATTTGTGTTTCAACCTACATATCACATTGTTGATCATGAGTACCTGTATGCAAAAACTTAAATTATGCACTGGTCTATATGCCTACAAAAATCCTTAATGGTACACATCTGTATCTAGGAAAACTGACACTGCGTTAGAGGCAAAGGGAGGTCACAACAAATATGAGATTTAGTTTTTTTTTCCTGTTTATGTATGTTAATTGGCAAACCTACTCATTTTTACACTTTACAGCAGTTTTTCCATGACGGCCTGAAACTTTTCCATGGTACTGCATGCGTTTTCACATTAACGATTTAAAAGAACAGATACACATCCCCAAGTGTGTCAGATAATATAAATGTAACCTATAACCTATAACCGACTCACAAAGAATTTATGGTATAAATTGTGAAGATTTTCCCGTTTCCGGCAGTAGACAGACCGTGACTGACGTCCACCTCAAGATCTTTATGTGACACCAGGAGTGTCCTGTCAAACTCGACCAGAAGACTGTTCCCAAAAGTAAACCTTTGTCAAACTGAAGTATTTCATTACCAGCATCTGGACTACACCCAAGCAAACCATCATTATAAGATGATGGAGAAAACACACAGTTTCACTTCATCATTCTTTAACACGTTCAAGGGATTGTAAAACGGCTGAAAATGAAAGAGACCAGATTTTATTTCCACTGGAAGAACAGAAAAATCCTCGCAGTGAGCTTTGGGACTACTGATCGACAGACAATTCTCATTTCATATCATTAGTAAATAATGGCCTTATGATTCAGTGTATGATGAGCATTGAATCAAGAGAAACTTTTAGCATCACTGTGTGATTCTTGAATGTTGGACCTGGGCTGGGCTGCTGGCTGTAAGGAGGTGATGTAACAGGGGTAGCTTAGTTAGTGATCAGCACGCAAGGCAGCGGGGCAGCACATCCCTGAGCCTTTAACATACTGCCTGGAAGACTGTCTTCCGTACGCACAGCTGCTGGGACAGCATTCGTCACAGAGGCCAGGCGCGGAGTTCGCATAGAGACCGTATGTAGTGCCATTGGCCGTTTCTAAGGTTCAAGTGTATCACACAAAAAAGGCCCAAAGATAAACAAATCAGTACTTTGGCTAAATGGTATTTTAAAAATGGCAACGGAAAGTATTTGACGTTTATTTTTATTTTCCTTCAGTTAGCTTCAGAAGCAATATTTATAGTTTTTAACAGTTTACGGAAATATTTTTGGCGCCGATAATAACCTTGCCTTACTGTATGTACGTAGTTAGGCTTCATGGTTAGTTTTAGTAGAAGTCTTATTTTTAAACAGAACATCCATACCACACTGCATAAATGTAATATCAGCTACCCCAAGCTGAACATTCAGATCGCAGAAGGTCTGGCACTTCGCAGTGAGCCGCGTCACGGCCGTGTTCGTAGTGAGTATGGTGCAGGCCTTAAGTGGGGGGGAGTTCCTGGTATGGAAGGGGCCGGACTATCATGGAAAGGTGTGGTATGGCTCAATGGTATGTTCTGGTATGGCTCAATAACACTACAGCTGTTGAGGTTACACATACACCAAAGGCACAAGTAAAAAAAAAAGACAAAGATAAAGGAAGAGAAGAATCAAGGCAGGGTGGGGGCAGGTCAGGCGTAGATTCCGGGGATCCAGGTGACAGCAGATTACTGTACCTTCCCCCAGGGACACCACCCATTTCCAAGCCAGAAACGGAGAGGGACAAACTGTTAGGCTGAATTAGGACGGCGAGCTCCCGGCCAGCCCCCTAACGGCCATTCAGAAAAATTGGCAGGACTTCCCGTGACTCAGGGAAGCTGTGATGTCATTGGCCGGTTCTGCTGGTGCGGCATGCCCTTCATGCGAGTATCAGAGAGTCACCGCACGCCACCGGAGATGGCGCTGGCCTGTTAAGCGGCCCCACCCCCACCATGCCAGCGGCCCCGTCGCGGGTGGCCGGCTTTCCCAGGGGTGGGGGGTCTCTGACCCCATGCCTCTTCCTCTCCCCTCATGCCAGTGACGTGCCTCCGGGCCCAAAAATAGCCTGATGAGAACTCAGGCCGCAGGCTCCTTGTTACAGTTTCCATACTTTCATCCCTAGAGTCACAATGGCCCGTCCATTAGGATTAATGCTGCATAAGAAGGACTGCACCACTAAAAAAATAATTAAACAACATCTCAATGATCTGGGTTTCAGCTCCATGTGGGATGCAGGTTTATGGTACAGACGCCCTTTTCCCTTACATATGGTCATCAAGAGCCTGGCCAAGACCTTCTAGAGAAGAAGGGACCCACATGCCAGCAAGTCAGATGATCTGGCACAGCAGGTCTTCAATGACACTGAAATGGAGAATCACACACACATTTCTATTCGCATCTTTGCGGGGAATGTCCGTTCATTTCTACGGGAAAAAACCTAATCCCAACAATGACAACCTTAACCATAAGTAACCAAACAAAACACACAGTGCAATATATACATGCCCACACAGACACAGCCAGACACACAAAACCACTTTTCAGTAAACAACCGGCTTCAGATAAATCCACTAAACCTCACAGCATCATTGATTATCATGGATATGAGTCAGCGACTTTACACGGGGGAAACAAACACACATTTGTGAGCGGAAAAATGCACTCTTGGAGACACTGGCGTAGCTGGGGGGGGGGGCAGACTCTGCACCGTGGTGGAGGACCAGAAGGTTCCAGAACCTGCCCTAGAGATCTGCAGCGTTTCCTGGCTATTCTCCCACCATGGCTCTTAAACACTAGCTGTCAAAATAACATTGTTCAGATCTTGATATTTCATGGGTCTAAACCATTGTAAAAGAAATATTTGGGCAAAGGTCTGCTTGCTCTAAAACGGGACAGAGAATAGCCCGATTTAATGGGTCTTTGTTAATTGGATTTTCATAAACAAACGTGCTGTCCTGAAGTAGCGGCCTGCTTAAACCAATTAAGGGCTTAAAGCATGCAGGAAAGGCAGATGAAGACGGCCTGTCTTCCAGGCAGTGAAGCTCTGCTTAAGGTCATGGGTATTAGTGACCAGAGTGTCAACGGGCTCCCTGTTTAAATTTAGTCTGGTCTCATTCACTGTTCACCAGCGGCATGTGGTACCGGCATTAATGTGTAAATGACGTGGAGGATAGGGTAAAGGGAGAGTCACGAAGGGAGGCCTGAATGGGATCAACCTTCCACACCAAGAGCTGGAGACAAAAGGTAGAATGTTCTAGAATGGAGGTTTTAGTGTCAGCTAAAAAATAAAATTAAAATTAAGCTTCAAAGGCTACAGAGAAAATTTAAACCGGTTAGCCCAGGAGTCGGCAACCTGTGGCTCTTCTCAGAACGACAGCCGCATTCACGTTTTCACTTCTTAACATAACTATGATAATACTTACGTAAAAATTAATTATTCATTTATGGGTTAATATTTTTCATTTAGATATTTCTTTAGCTATATGTGAATGAGGCAGTCCATCGCGCGCTTCTGTGATGTTTTAACGGCATCATTTACATCTTCCTCAAAGTCATTCTCTCGGACGAGAGTACGTCTCCGGTCACATGGTATGCTTTCCGGAGTTTTCTTTAGCACCTTAGATTGGATGTACGCTTCAACGTTTATTGGGATTCTTAATTCTTTCATATACTTTTTGTGGTCTTCCCAGGTCTCTGTAAAAAAAAATTTATATTTTATATTTTCTCCGATTTATATATTATAGCCAGCTGAGTTGTGACTACATTTGCGCTGCTCGTCAGCACAGCAGTAGTGAAGAGGAGAGTGAAGGACAGACAATTGCAGAGTCGAACGAAAGAAGGGGTGAGGGTGACGACTATCGCTACAGAACTGAACAATGCTGTAATATTAGTCACCTTCACACTGTTACGCGTCCGAGTGATTTAAAACTGAGAGCCCCCCGAAATTGGTTTTCTTTATTTTTTGTAAGTACTTGAACTTTTGTTTCTGTGTTAAATGCATATATGCCCATATCACGTAAAAAAAAACGTATCTCAAACCCTCTTCTCTACCCATTGCGGCTCATTGTAAATCTTGGGTCAGATATTTAGGAAAAAATGGCTCTTTGCTTTAAAAAGGTTTCCGACCCCTGGGTTAGCCAGTCTGCTATTGGCTAAAGTGCCAGGTTGACATATGGAGTGATTTTAACATTTTTAGATTATAAATGACACTCTTTGATAAAAAGAAAACACATTCACACTGAAGTGACCTGAACTGACCTGACCTAAAAGGTTTCATTTCTGTAATTAAACCTATCAGCCACAGGGAAAGCAAAGTATACAAGATTTGTCTATTGTCCATTTTAGTTTTTATCATTTATTTCTTAAAAGTTATTGTTTGGGAAATCAGTAGATCATGAAGCTATTACCATCTTTAATACTGAACCATCAAAAGTATCTAAATTATCAAACACGATAAGGTCACTTCCAATAGAGCAGAGACTCTGCGTTCTGAGATTCAAACGGCACATTCTCAGCTTGGGAATCCCTCCGGTGAGCAAAGCCGGTATCTGACACTAATGGACATTCCTGACTGGACGGCCGTTCGTGACCGGCTGAGGAAGAACAGGTCTCCCCTCCTGGGAAATGTTCCCCGTGCTCGTGTGCAAAAATGTGAGCTGGGCCCTCGGGGTGCCCGGGCCCTCGTGGTCCCCGGGCCCTCGTGGTCCCCGGGCCCTCGTGGTCCCCGGGCCCTCGTGGTCCCCGGGCCCTCGTGGTCCAAGTGCTTTTTTCTGGGACTGAAAGAAGACGATCAAGCCCTGCTGTGTGAAGACAAGCTTTTCATTGAGCACTGTTTAAGGTCACCGGTGAATGGAAAAGTGGCCCGATTGCATATTCCAAAGGAAGTGAATTAAACAGTCTTATTAGGGACATTTTTTACCTGAATTAAAAATGTGTCATGAGCAAGAGCACCCCCATATTTTGGCTATACTCTGTTAGGTAGGCAGGTCACTATACTCTTTTTGCCCCTGGTGGGAATAACTCCTTTTAACTCCTCTGCAGTGGCTTTGGCTACAGGCAGCAGGCTTAACCTAATTGAAACAGACCCCATTCAATTCAGAAGCAGAAAGCACCTGACCACTAAAAGTAAAAAGAACAGATTTAATTTCGATTAATAAACACTGAAGTGTGCTGATGGCGTTGCGAGGAGCCGCCGGGACACGGGGCGAGGAATGTGACGTACCTGTAGGACGAACTTCTGCTCAATGTAACGTTTGGCGATGCTGGACTGGAAGTCGGGGTTTTCCAGAAACCTCAGGAAAAAGTCGTACACCAGCTGCAGAACGGCAAAGCAGGGAAGCAGGCTGCTTCACATATAAACATTTAAAAACACCAGGAAGCTACTAATGTCCTCTTTGCTGTTGAAATTTTCATAGAAAAGTACTTCTTGCTGAAATGATCAGTATAATCAAAGAAACAGCAATGAAGGCAGATATAACTGATTATACATCAGGACATCGTGATAAAGCCAAACTCAGTTTTAAAAATGCACCCATGCAAATATTAATCTGCATATTAATGCCTTGTAATACAAACCCCTAACTGAAAGTGTATTCCCTAAACTCTAAGCCCTTTCACTGATATCATTTCCTGTTTCAGAGTGTATTTATCTCGCTGATCATGGAGAGAGAAAACCCTTCAAAGTTTACGCTAACCTCACTAAGTCTTGTTGAAGAGCGTCTACATACAGCATTGAAAGCATTTTGGATACACATCATGAGATGACCTCTGAACTTTGCTAGAACATGCACCATGTGACCAGGCATGCTGCCAGAGTGGAATGCCAAGACCCCCTCACACCAAGACCCCCAAACGCCATGATAGTTCTTCACCTGTATGTGGGGCCATGAGGCCTCAAGAGTGGGTTCATCCTCCTCTGGGTCAAAGTCCGGGTTCTCGCTCGGAGGCAGCGTCCGGAAAATGTTGGTGCTTATCTGCAGACACAGGACACGCCGCGTGCCATTGAGTGTCTTACTGCTACCGCATCCAGGCAAAATTAAACGTCGTCAGAGGCCAGTTCCACAAACAGATGCAGACTAATCGCGCTCCAGGTCACAGACCTACCAGGAGGTCGAAGGCCCAAACAATGTAAAATTAGGGTTAAAAAAATATTTTAGTCACGATGGTGAAATAAGAGCTCTGAAAGGAAAAAAAAAATACTGCAACAAACATTCAATTTTTTTAAGAAAAAGGACAAATACAGTAAAGTCACATCTTCCAAAGAGAAATGAATATTTCACCTTAAAGACTGTATGTAACACATAAGTGAAAAAGGTGGAGAGTGATTCAAACCTTGGGTAAATCCTTGCATCGAGACCCACATGTTCCTCTATGCCCTTATCTATGGTTATAATACCCCTCAGTAGTACCTCAGTAGGGGTTCAGACTTGATCGCTTTTCAGTCACTAACACAATACATCAGAATTGGCTGATGTTCATTAACAATCAAGTCATCGGCCAACCCTGCCGACCAATATTTAAACTTTAACCAATATTCAAAGTTAGCAGCACCAGAGCTAAAGAAATAACTGCTAAAATAGTGGTAATGACTGCATTGGACCATCAGCCACTTTCCATAGTGGAGGACGATGGATTTTGTTGACTTATTTGTCGCTTAGAACCTCGCTGTGGTCCCCCAATTCAGCACTACTTAGCTGACGTTGCACTACCTGAATTATACAGTACAATGCTGTTGCTACACACATTCACAAGATCTTAAGAAATAATAAAACCAATTTCAGTTTCAGATTTATTAAGTTGGGATGTCAGCCGATTATAAGTATCGGTAACATTAGACAAAAACAAATCTGTATTGGGCAACATTTCCACATTGGCACAGCACTATTCCCACAGGGAAGTAATAATTTTGACTGAATCTCTTTTGATGTAAACACTTTCAGGACACATAGGTCTCCGACGTGCACTGGAATGCTTACTCTGTCACACCCAGGCCGAGGAGCAGCAGTTCATGGTAAATAGGCAATAAACAGACAATGCAATATTAGGCGTGCAGTAGCACACAAGTAACGCCCAGACACACCACAATTCACACGAAGAGCAGGGTGCAGTAACCCAGCCCAGCTAAGCATGACATGGACGCTCGGGGGGGGGGGGGGGGGGGCTGCTCCTGAATCTCTGGTCAGTTTTCGGAAGCCCCTTGTGGCCAGGGGTGTGTTTGGGTCCTGTAATGTTAGCTGTGAATGTGGTCGATCTATATCCAAGCAAAGATCGGGAGCTGGTACGATTAAGTGTGGTAAAGACGTGCCAAGGCGGTGCCATCTGCAGACGGTGACAACCAGGCGTGACGGTAGTTCTGCTGGGAGGCCTCCTTGGGAGCAGACACATCGCAGGTGATGCCACCTCCCCCCCAGGACTCCACCCTCGTTAATGATCTTAACTGCCGGAACCACTGAAGGACTCCCTGCCTGGGAGGGGGCTCCCATGCCAGGAATCTTGAGGGAATCACCTGGGAGGATCCTTCCTACAGTGACCTTACTGTTGGGTATACCACCCCCCACCCAACACCACCATCAGAGACCATGTGGGTCTCCTACATCTGCACGCAACCCTTAATTTCCACAAAATCCACAAACAGAGCCACTGGATCCTCAAGATGCTACCATAAGAAGGATGGGGCAACATGGGCACGTAGAGTCCAGGGAGCCAAGACCATCATCGCCGTCCTTTCAGAAGGACCAACGGCATCAGCGCCATCCATTTTACATAATGGATTTTATTTAGGCTGAGCAAAGACCCACATCAAATTCAAGTTCTCCTTGAAAGAACCCTTCCACACCCAGTACAAATTTCATGTTTTATCTGGAACTTTCTGATCGGTGACTATCGAACTGGTCGGTGCAGCACAGCAAACATGGCGACCGACTGCTTCAATAGCCTGCCGTTGGTTTCCAAAGCAACAAGGTCACAGGGTGGAGCTATGGGAGAATGGCAGTGGAGGAGCGCAGTGACAGGACCCAGTGAGAATTTAGAGTTCTGCTTGAATTTCTTTCTTAGAAGATTCCCAGACAGTGTTTGCCCCTGATATGAACCTCACATGACACATGCATGTGTGGGTGGATGTAATGCTTGCCTGCAGCTACCTGAAAGCTAATACTATGCTGACCTGGTGAAGCTGGGAGGTACTATTATCAGCTGGCTGTGAAGCCACAGTTGCCAGGAAATTAATTTACTGACTGACATGTTGGTCTTTGCTGAAGGGGGGGGGGGGAAATGGTGTTGTCATGGTGACTGGGCTTCACACAGTCTGATGCAAGCAGTAGTCATGGTTTCATAAGTTCATCACAAACTTCCAGCTGGAAAACAAGACGGTGTGGTATGGGGGGGGGGGGGCAGGGTTCCGATTTCTGTTTGACCCTGAACCGTGCTGAGCCATGATGACTGAGTCGGTACACTGCACACATTTCTGAAGCACGTGTGTGTGTGTGTGTGTGTGTTGTTTCTTGGTTATCCAACCCCCAGGGTAAGCTGCAGATCATTCATTTTAAAGCATTTTCCACACACGCGACATTGTGCCTCGAAAGGCTGAAAAATTCAAGCAGCAAATAGCACGGCCAACAGACAGCCAGACAGACCTGCATGTCCCTGACTCCTGGAGTGTCTGCAGAAAACTATCTGCTTGCCACTGCCAGGGAAGACAACAGTGATCCTGACTGCTTGCCAGCAAGAAAACCAAAACCTTGAATAACAAGGGGGGGGGCGAATGCGGACGCTTCCAGACAGGGGACTACACAGATGGGAACACGAGAAGAATTTTGCACTAGCACCTGTAACAGGATGTTTCATAGATTTACTGACAGTAACCTGTAAATGGGGGCAGGTCAAATGAAGGATATAAAGGGGCTTGTCCATTCAGACAGGAGACAAGGGTCTGAGGGGAGGTGTCCCACATTCCACATCCTCTATCACATGCTGAGACAATGGAAACCACAACAAACCATCCTGTCTATTTGCCTTATACTTCCTGCTTTGCAGTCCTGACAGAGATTTCTGCTACATGCCCCTCACACCCTTTTATGGAGGCTCAATCAATGGATACATCGAGGACGAGAGGCACCTACCATAATAATGATGTCTGGGTAGATAGATTCCACCAGTACACCCCTGCAGGAGGACATGTACTCTACCAGCTCGCTGAGAGCTGCCCGCTTGATCTCCTTGCTCTTGAGGTCGGACACAGAGTCAAAGTCGTCGAAGAGCGTGCAGCACTGCTGAAGCTTCTGGGTGAAGAGCTCCTGCTGCTCGGTGGAGGAGGCATCTGGAACAGAGGTGGAGGTCATGAGAGCAGTAAGGTCAACCATGGCGTCTGCCACAGGGTAAACCACATGGTCTACCACAGCACCCACTGCAAGATCTAGCACGGGATCTATTGTGGAGTCAACTATGAACCCAAACACAGGGCCTATTTCGAGGTCACCAAAACAGTATATGATGGGGTCTCACGCAGCCTCATTAGCAGGGGTCTACACAAAGTATATGATTTTGATGGTTCTCTCCCAGGGTCAACAGCAGGGACAACTACTGGCTGTAGCAGAAAGTCAATCACAGGGTTTACCTCGGGGTCAACCATAGAGTATCTGATGGGGTTTAGCACAGGGTCAAGAGCAGGAGCAACCATAGGATGCACCAGAAAGTCAACAAGGGCTTTCTGCAGGACGCTAAGTACAAGATCAACCATGGAGTCAACCAGAGTAAACGATGAAGTCTCACACAGGGTCAGTGGCAGGGTAAGCCATGGAGTCTACTAAAGAAGCCCGTTGATATAGTAGATATAGGAAGTACACAAACCCCTTCACAAATTTCAAATTTTGTTATGTTGCAGCCCTATGCTAAAACTGAGTAAATTTATTTTTACGTCAAGTCTACACTCAATAGTCCAAAACGACAAAGCAATAATTTTTGGAAATCACAAATTAACAAACATCATGGAATTTTACTCTGTACTTAGTTGAAGCATCTTTGGCAGTGATTACAGCCTTGAGTCTTCTTGTGCATGATGTGACAAGCTTTGCGCTTCTGCATTTGGAGATTTACTGCCATTCTCTGCAGATCTCTGTTGGAAGATAAATCTTTAGGCCCAGTCTGAGGACCAAAGCAGGTTTTCATTAAGGATATCGCTGGACTTTGTTCTATTGAACTTTCCCCCACCCTGACCACTGGCAAACACCCCCAGCAGCAGGATGCTGTCACCACCATACTTCACTGTTAGGATGATATTGCACAGGTGATGCCCGATTTCCTTTAGACATCACACAGAATTGAGGACAAACAATTTCAATCTTGATTCATCAGACCAGAGAATCTTGTTTCTCAGAGTCCTTCAGTCAGCAATAAGCAAACACTGTCTTTTACTGAGGCTTTTACTGAGCCCAGATCAGTGGCATGTTGCAGGGATGGTTGTCCTTCTAGAAGTTTCTCCCATCCCCACATATGATCTTTGGAGCTCAGCCAGAGTGACCATCAGGTCCTTGGTCATCTCTCCTGCCAAGGTCTTTCTTCCCCAACTGCTGAGTTTGGCTGGACAGCCAGCTCTAGGAAGGAACTTGGTTGTTCCAACTCATTCCATTTAAGAATTATGGAACCCTTTGTGCTCTTGGGATACATTAATACTGTAAAATAATGTGCAGTCTTCCTTAGATCTCTGCCATGAAATCTTATATCTAAGCTCTGTAGGCAATTGCTTTGACCCCATGAATTTATTTCTGCTCTGATATAGATTGTCTGCTGTGGGACCATTAAAAGATAGCTATATGCCTTTCTAAATCATGTCCAATCAATTAAATTAACCATAGATGGAATAAAAAAAATGTTTAGAAACATTTCAGAAATGATTAACAGAAATGGGACGCACCAGAGCTAAATATCAAGCGTCACAGCAAAAGGTCAGAATATTTATTTCAGTCAATGAGATGTTTCAATTTTTAATACATTTGTAAACAATTCTAAAATTCTGTTTTCGGTTTGTCATTGTGTGTTACAGAGTGTATACTGGTGAGGGAAAAATTTCAGCATAAGGCTGCAACATGAGAACATGTGAAAGGTGAAAGGGTCTGAATACTTTCTGAATCCACTGTACTACAGGGTCTTGCAAAAGGTCAACAGCAGAGGTGACCACACGGACCCAGGGTCTGCTAGAGATAAAGCTAGGTAGTTTACCGGGAAGCCTACCACAGGGCCAACTGCAGTCTACCACAAGGTCAACCACAGGGTCTACAATAGGGTCAACCACATAAATTTGGGGCATAGCGTGACGCTGTATGCAAAGCATAAATCACATGCGAAACAAACCTGTATAAAATATCAAAAGGCTCTGTGGCGTTATAGCATTGCAACAGTGTCAAAAAAATCAATATTAAAATCATTCATCTGGGCAGCTGCGGAAACGTCGTAAATAACTGGATGAGGAGACACTGAGTGCCTGAAATAATAAAGTCTTCTGTGGATCAGATGCCCCTCAGTGTTAGAACGGACGCCAAGCCTGACCCCAGACAAGCTATAAACAGCATCTGGAAGTCTTCCAGCACACAAAGCGATATAGACACCACTCACAGCAGACTTGGAAGACAGTTTGGGAATGTCTGGATCAGTGTGTACGATTCACAGCTCACTCTCAGTCCGTACAGGGAAACTCTTATGTTTCATTATGTAGTATTTTTAGACGTCATATCATATACTAAACACATGTTTTTTTTGGCTAGGAGACATTTCGCCATGTTTAGAATATGAAGCCAGATATTAACTGGACACTGCTAGATGTCATGTGACCTGTTCTGCATTCTAGTCATGGCTATCGGGCTCAGAACCGACCCAAAGTCCTTCAGAGACCAATGTTTGGAACACCTACTTAGAAATGGAAAATTTGTTGCGCTCCATACCAAACTCAATGCTTCCATTTCTCTTGTTTTGTGAGATGTAAAGCGCATTCTTATACTCAAGACATCTCAGTAGCCGAGTGATTTTAAACATTAGTCCAAATGTTTAATGCGTTTAATGTTCCTTCCTCCGTGGTGTCGATTACACGTGCTGTGGCTGGGAGCCACCAACCACGCCAGTGGACATGAGTGACGTTCCCAGACTAACAGTCGGCATGGTTCTGCCAGGTCCAGGTCCAGTGAGAATTGGGGAGAAGACGTGAGGAGGCGCCAAGCAGATCTCAGAGTGCCAAGAGGCAGCCATCATCATGCAAACAGCATTTGTGGAGTGGTGACCTATAGGGGGCTGATGTCAAACCCAGAGAGATCCCTTTTCAGACAAACCACATTCTCGCTTAGTGTATCAGAGGACCAGCGCATGAGTAGATCGGGGGTGGCGTGTGGCTCACTGGGTTAGGATGCTGTGTCTGATCAGAAGGTCGCTGGTTCAAATCTCTTGGTTGGCAAAGTGATGTCACAATGGGCCCTTCAGGAAGGCCCTTAACCTCTAGTTAGTATGGTCAGACGGTCCATTGTCTAACTCGGAAGCTTTGTCGGATAAAGCATCTCTTAAATAATAAAATGTAAATGATCTGTAACACGCTAGCGAGCTCTTGTGCCACCACAGCCAGTAACATATAGAAGAAGAGAGACACACAAGTCACTCTGACAGAGTCGGGCTTGACCGGAACATGGCCTTGGGCTCCCTAGAGCTCCAGCACTAGACCTGCATGACCACTGGAAAAGCCATGAAAACCAAGGTGCCTCATGAAGTATAAAGGGAGTGAGCCACCATCTAAACAAGTAAAACAGGTCTGGCTTTGGCAGGGACTGCAAGTTTCATTTGGGCAATTCTGGTGAAGAGAGCAGCCTGTCTGGTGAAAAACAAAGGTATGTCAGATGTATATCACCAGAAGCATGCTGTTCAAAGACCGAACATCTACTGGTGGGCAGAAAACCGAGGTCCAAAAAGCTGGCAGAGGTTCCGATATGCTTGGGTCCAGTTCACAGTACACGAGTCCCTATCCTGAGTAACCAGTGCTGAGCGCCACTTCTGGGCAGCGTTTGGGATACGTCAGTGCTTTAGGGAAAAGGCCGGCACCGGCAGCAGACGAGTTGGGGTTTGCCTGTAGGGGGCATAGGAGACCCCCAGCCCCCTGCTACCACATTTATATGAGAAACCTACCACACTGGAGGATAATAATAATAATAATAATAATAATAATAATGTCATCACACCCAGTTAGGATGCCCCACTGACACAAGCCAGTAAAACTGGACTATCTTCCTCATTTACACTCTGCTCCAAACGTTCATGTGCAAACAGCAGGAATGATGCGAGCTGCCATAAGCAAAGTGTTTTACAAGAAAAAAATGAAATGTGCAGAGTTGCCGCCATCAGACAGCACACAGCTCTGTTTTAACACAGGAAATGGCTTTTTTGTGCGGTTAACAAGATAACATGAAGGAGAAAACGAAACAATACCAGTGAGCACTGGGTATCAGAACCCGCCACGGCCTGAGAGATCACACGTGTGGCACAAAGGGCCAAACAGACAGGTAGACCATTCCAAGGGAAATCAGTCATCAGCAGGGCAAAGACACTTCTCATGCCCTTTAAACAGGCCATGGCTTATTAATACTTAAGATTTTCATGGGAAAACAAGCCTCAGGTGAGACCAAGAGCAAAACATGCGGCCCCAGCAATCCATAGTCACAGAAGCCAAAATACCGGACCACGTGGTCCCAGAGTCACCAAGGAAAAATAATGAGGCCAGAGTCGCCAAAGAAGAAATTATGGGGACAGTCACCAAGGCCAAAACACGAGTCCCAGTCAGGAGGGCAAAACCAGCTGAAGTTGACGAGATCTTCCTAAAGTTCGTCCATATCAGAGTATCTGAGACCTCGAATGTCACAGAACCGTTCATGACGTTCATGACTCATGACGATGAGTCCAGGCAGAAATGAAGCGAGCACTTCAGGAACCTGGGGGTAAGAGAATCACGAGGCGTATAGAAAAAGCTCCCCCCCCCTTTCAGTCTTGAGAGCTGCCGATGATTTTCTGTTACTTTAACAGCTGTCTGATGAGTTGATAATCCAGCGACCTTGATCAGCACCAAAGCCACTGCATGTCACGCTGCATTCAACGTTCAAGATGAAAAGGGGAGGTGTGACGTGCGTCTGACGAGAGGAAAGGGGGCAGCTTCTCGCCCCCCAACCGCTTTAATAAATAGCCTTCAAAGACAAAGGCCACCATCTCCTGAAGTGGCAAAGCAGGCACTGTCACCCTGGCTGGACTAATTAGCTCACCAGGGATGAATATGGGGTCAGCTGAGCGGAAACTGGG